CTGAACTATATTTTAAATGTACTATGTAAAACAGGAACTTAAGTATTTCTTCAAATGTTGGTTGGATTGAGAGTCAGCAGGTGTAATACTACCTATTAAAAAGCCATTTCCATTTACAATAAAGTAAGTTCTCACAGGTATTTGGATATGCTCCTGAAATTCCTATAACTTACTTATTTTTGCATAARTACCATACCATTAATTACAATGACTTTTAAAGCAAATTTAAATATCTATTAGAATATGTAGCTCCACATTTCTTGTTTTTAAAAARTTGCCTGGATATTGTTGCTTTTGTGGTTTTTGGTTTAGCTAGGCCAGAATCACAGATTGGATATYAATTCTTCCACTTAGGATAAGTATATGTGAGTTCTTATTTTTCAAAAATGAAACAAATTAAAAGGAACAAGATTTTGATATAAACTTCATTGAATTTCTATACTTATATGGAAAGGACTTATAGTTTCATAATACTAAATACTCCTCTCAAAGGAAAATATAACTTTCCATTTCCTCGATCTTGTTTTATGATATTTAATAAAATGATATTATTTTCTTCATAGGTCTTATGCCTATCTGGCTAATTTTGTTCTTGGGTTTCATTTTTATTGTAAATGAAGTATTTTTTCATTTCTATTTTGATCAGGAAATAATAGTATAATTATGACCTGATCATGTATAATTGACAAATATTATTTTGTATACTGACTTTGTCTACTATCACTTTGAGTTGTCTGTGTATAAAATTGTCTGTAATATAATGCCAGTTTTATTTGTATTTTCTAATGCTTCAATTACTTATTTCTTATTGTGTTTTCATCAAAAAGTATTTAGATAGAAGTAGTAAATTTCTGAATATTTTATTTTAATGTCTTTTAGTATTTCAGTATTAAACATGTTGCTTACCAAGCTTAAGCTTTTTCTTCTACTCTGATTTTACTTGGAATTTTAAAAAGTAGCTTCTGAACCTTATCAATAGGTTTGGTGCTTCTATTGATAAGATCATAAGATATATGGAATTTGGGGTTGGCAGATTTAAGTGTYCTTTTGCCTTTTTATTAGTTCTTTTTAGTTACATATAAAAATAGGATTCATTTTGACATAATTACAAAAGCATGGAATATAATTTGTTCTAATTCAAGCCATAGTACTTCCTCTTTTCCTCCCCTCCTCCCTCCCCCTACTAATCTTTCTGCCATTTACCATAGTTATTTTTTCAATCAATATCTTATGGATGTACATAATGGTGAAATTCACAGTGGTATATTAATATATGACATAGGAAGGTTCATTCCCGTCTTTTCCTATTTCATCCCTCCTCCCTTCCCTTCATTCTCCTCCATCTAGTCCATTGATATTTCTTCTATTTTGATGGAATCCTCTGCATTTTCCTTTCCCTCTTTCTCCCTCTCCCTCCTTCACTTCCCTCCCTTATTCTGGACTAGCTTTTAGTGGGTAGATTTTTCTAACAGTGAATCATCTTCATATTTCTGGAGTAAACTTTACTTGGAGTTGTGAGTTAGTTTGCTGTGATGCACAGTCCTGATTGTGTTCAAAACCATCTACTGTACCCCAGCATACTGGAGAATATGTCTACTTCTCACTGAAGGATCCACAGCCCCCATTTTATACCTTAAACCTATTTTTTTCAAAACAATCTTTGACTTTTCTCTTTCATATACTTTGGACCATTTTCCTTAATAGAATAGGACTTAAAATCAATCACTCCTATCTTCATCATTCTCTCCACCAGGACTGCCCTCACCCTCTTGTTTTCT